AACATGCAAGCTTTACTTGTATCCACACACTTTTTTCCTAAATAAACTTTCATTAAAAATAATAAAAAATGAACAAATGTTTTAAATGTTTTAAAAACTATAACAAACTAAAATCTACACAACAATCTGTCCTCGATGTCTTGAGCAGTAAATACATGGAGCGAGTTTAAACAAATGTTATTGTAAGGAAAATTATTAAACCATTAAAATAAATACAGTTAAAATGACCTTTTTGAATAAAAAGTTGAAAGTTTTATTGAGATGGATTGTTGGTGATTGTGTGGGTTTTGGCCAGATTAGGTAGCAAAACATAAAAAAGGAAAATGAAGACTTGTTTAAAAAAGATTAAAGACCTACAACACAATATTTCAGTAAATTTGAGACTTTTTAAGGCCGAAAATTTAGATTTTGGAATTTAAGACATTTTAAGACCCCGCAGAAACCCTGTTTAAACACAATAGCCCTGATAATTAGTTATTATAATAATGATGTAATTCTAACTCTAATACTATCTTTGAGAACTAGTAACATCTACTAGAAACAAGTTAAAACCAATAAAGAGGTCGATGAAAAAAGTTAATTTGGATCAATGTGACATATGCAAATGGAGAGTACTAAGCCAACACTATCACCATAATAGCAGATATCTTCTATGAGAATACTGTAGGTCAAATATCTTCAGCTCAGTTTAAGTTTTTATTTATTTTATATAGCGCTGGTGCTCAAGGACACTTTACAAACAGTAGGAGAACAAGAAAAGCAATAGCCTTAAGAAGGTAGAGAAAATGGGAGACTAATAATAAATAAAATAATGACAAAAGACACGAGAACAAGTAACAAGAGAGAAACTCATTCCTGTCTTTCAATAGTTATGTTTCCATCCACCTATTTTTATGCACATAAAAAAACAGTTTATGGAAACACCATGATGCAAAAAAAAAAAAAAAAAAAAAGTATGCGCATAACTGAGTAGGATAAACGTTTTATTCGATAAGAAAAGGTGAAAAATCACGATGGAAAACACGATACAAACTCCCGTATGTGCATTGAAAAAGGTCATGTGATTTTGTTATAAGAGATCATGTGATGATACAAATGTGTATGAAAGGACAAACCAGCCGGCTCAGTACATTATAAAACATCTGAACTCTTGTTTTGGTCATTCTTAAACGCCTTACAGTTTAAGTATTAGTGTTATTATATTATTCATGACCTCCAGAATTAAGAGCATCTTCGTGTCTGACACCTTTAAACGCCACTACGCGTTCACTGCGTTTCAGGATTACCCTCTGAGGCGCAAGTCATTAATTAGATGAAGAAAAGATTAGCGGCATTTCCACTGTCGGGCATGTGCAAGCCAGGGCTTTTATCGTGCTGGGCCGGGCCAATCGCAAGGGGGGGTTGAGCAGTGAGGCAGAAATCATGTCGCGTTTCCACTGTCATGCAAACCCTGCCCCCAGAATCTCCCCCGAATCAAACGTCACACAACCCGCCCACTTCAGCGGTAATCAGGCGGATAATGCATGCATGACAGATAAAAAGGTAGCCTAGTTTCTGCTTTCACTCACCCATAAAATGCACTGTTTACATGATTTGATTAATATGATCGTATCCATATACTTTATAAATAATATTTCAAACAAAAAAGTGTTTATTGTTTTAGAAAATATCTAAAATCTTTTTTTCAGATAGGCCTTTGTAAAATGAAAGGTTAATATGGGTTTAAATGGTTATGATTTATGTACTGTTTATAGGCTCCCTAAATTATTATAGCTAGATTTTATGTGATTTTATTATATCTGATATTTGTAATTATTTAAATTATTTCAATATATCTTAGGCTATTTTATTAGGATATAACACTATTGTTTTTGAGTCTACAAAAATGGTCACGAAATTTGTAAAGTTTAATGTCTTTCTGTTGTATTTATGTTGTGTATTATCTTCAAAATAAATAAAAACAGAAGCCGCTCGCAGCATCAACAGAGCTGTGAAGAGAGCGCTCTTTTGCTCGGTCTAACATTCACATCCAGGCATCTAAACATGCACAAACACCTTTTAAACTTGACAAAAACTCTCAAAAACCTTTACTGTCTGCTGTGTCTTTAATATGGTGTGAAGATTATTATGCGTTATTGAAACATCAAGGAGGATGCAGCAAAGTCACTTATAAATGAAAACTTTATTATTTTATGCAACAGCCTTACATTTAAAAGGGAAACATAAGGGCGATCATACGCAAAAAGACCCCAGACTAAAAGGCTAGATGCTTTCTTTCCCTTATTTTTTTTATTTGGTTATTTGTTTGGTGCATGTACTCGTGTGCGATCGGAAAACTAGTGTCTGCCTCTCCTTTCACTCCGCCCCAGCTAGCCCTCTTTGGCCCAAGGTATTCGGCGGGCTGAAAACAGCCGGCCGCTGGCCCCGAGAAAGCCCCGCTTTGGCCCCGGAAGTGATAGTGGAAACGTGACTGGCCTAGGCTCGCTCACTTTAGGCATGATAGTGGAAACGCGGCTATTGATGCAGCTTCTCTTTTCGCAGCAAATTCCATTTTCATTGTTGATATTTGGCGCCAGTTAATCAGGAAGTGATGATTTTGTTCGCTTTGACTCTTTGTCGTTGTATTTGCACTGTCTGTATTTTGCACTGTTGTTGTATTTAAACTGTCTGTATTTTGTACTGTCTGGAGCCAACACCTAAGCTTTTCACTCATCATAGCACACGTGCTGCTGATGATGTGACAATAAAAGTGAGTTGATTTCATTTGAATGGAAAAATCAAGTTTTAAGCATAAAGTTAATTTGCATTTTTGGATGGAAACATAGTACTTGAGTGCTTATGTGCATTTAGGAGAACTAGGCAGCACACTCAGGGCTGCAAGATGGATTTAATTTAATATTCTTACTATTAAAATATATCTGAATGAGGATTAAATGACCGAGTTGGTCTTTGAGAATGAAAATTAATCTGTTTGTTCCTGCAGATCTTCCTGTTTGACTGTGAATGTTTCTTCAATCTTCACATCTTCACTCTCCTCTTTAATAAACGCCATCTTTATAACAGTGTGGAGATCAGTCACTTCAGCAGGAGTTTTTCTCTGCGTTTGGACACTTTATCCTGTTTAAAATAAACAAAAAAATGAACAGAAACAAAATAACTTCTCCTTAACACTTACTTCAACAGTTTCTTTATATAAGAGTAATTAACAAAAAATAAATCAGGAAAGTCTGAGCAAGAAACAATAGCCACAAATGACCTGATTAAAACTAGTAACATTACTTCATTTCTTATATATAGTAATGTATACTTAGAATGGACTGACATTATACTGTTTAATAAATTAAACCTTCAATAAGGAAACTTATTACTCAAATCTCTGTAACTTTTTAAACTTTATTCTTTATGTATGTTCTTAATCGTTTTGTTTGTTTTATTTAGCTTATTGTCTGCTTAAAGCAATGTGTAGCACTTTTTTTGCACTAGACAAATTTCCTCTCAGGAACAAAAAGGTTATCATATCTTTATTCAAACAATAGTACTATTTTACTCACATTAATGAGGGCTATGTTGTATAAAGGGTAAAATAATATTATCAACAGCAGGTACATAATTTAGCACTGAATGGCAAAAAAACAGAAACTTTAATCAATCGCTTTATATAAGTGTAAACGCTTTAAAACAAACCTTTCTCCAGTTGAATCACAGCGCTGGAACGGCGCAGGCTTATGACGTCACACGTCACGCCAAAATAAAAGTCTTTTTTTTTTTTTTTACCTTTTGCCACTTACTGTTGCAGTCTTGACTTATTGATACATTTCTCCCTCGTTTCCATTTTCTCACAGACGCACATATATTCAGTATTTGGAGTTGATCAAAACCTTTACTCTAAACATTTTAAGACAATTAAAAAAAAACTTTTTTAATCCACTAAGACTAAGTGTTTAAAGCAAAAATCTCAACATTCTAAAAGGTATAACAAATAATCTAATGAGTGTTTGGAGCCGTAACTTTACAGAAAAGGAGGTAAAATAGGTGTTCTTCATGTAAAAAGTATTCATTATTACTACACGTTTTAGTTCTTCTAACTAGTCATGACTTATATATATTTTTTTCTCTGCGTTTGGACACTTTATCCTGTTAAAAATTAACAAAACAATAAAAATGTAAAATGAATAAAACAATGAACAGAAAGAAAATAAAATAAAATCTTCTTATGAGAGTAAGTTCATATAAATAAACTGTTGCAAGAGGTATTTATTTTAAACAGGACATTTTTATTGCTTTGTTAGTTTTTAACAGGATAAAAAGTCAAAAAGGTTAAAAAGGCTTTTATTTTGGCGTGGATTGTGACGTCATAAGCCTGCGCCGCTCCCGCGCTGTGATTCAACTGGAGAAAGGTTTGTTTTAAAGCGTTTACACTTATATAAAGCGATTGATTAAAGTTTGTTTTTTTATTCAGTGCTAAATTAGGCACACAACAAACAAGTATTCCCTGTCCACTTTACAAATCGTAGAAATCTGTGTCTTATCAATATGACCAAAATGACTTTTATGAAAAACTTTGAAAACTGGATTGACACTGTTTAAATTTACTATAACTTCTATGTTAAGCGGCTTTGACACAATTTACATTGTAAAAGCACTAGATAAATAAAGATGAATTGAATTGAATCTGCCTAAATGTGTACACGTTAATGAACCAAACAAAATATGATCTGATTCATTTGACATTCAATGTGCATCAAAATTACAGTGTGTGTAGCCAATGTTTCCAGTGTCTTTTCACTTTTTAGCTTTTGATGAGAGTTTTTAAGACTTAATGAAAACTAATGTTTTATTTATTTATTTATTTCAGACCTAATTGAACAGAATGAGGCGAGTAAAGAGGAGGAACATCATGTCAAAATTGTGGAAAAAACTCATTTACAGACTGATGGTGTTTTAAAAAGGAGAGACAAGAATCGTTTCACCTGCACTCAGTGTGGAAAGAGTTTCGCCACCAAAAGCAAACTTAAGATTCACATAATGATCCACACCGGAGAGAAACCATTCACATGCACTCAGTGTGGGAAGAGTTTCAACCAATTATCTCACCTTAATTATCACATGATGATCCACACTGGAAAGAAACCATTTGCATGCACTCAGTGTGCGAAGAGTTTCAAGCAATCATCACACCTTAATCTACACATGATGATCCACACTGGAGAGAAACCCTTCACATGCACTCGTTGTGGAAAAAGTTTTAACTGCTCATCACACCTTAATCAACACATGAGGATCCACACTGGAGAGAAACCATACGCATGCACTCAGTGTGGGAAGAGTTTCAACCAATCATCTCACCTTAATTATCACATGATGATTCACACTGGAAAGAAACCATTCACATGCACTCAGTGTGCGAAGAGTTTTAACCAATCATCACACCTTAATCAACACATGAGGATACACACTGGAGAGAAACCATACGCATGCACTCAGTGTGGGAAGAGTTTTAACTGCTCAACAAACTTTGATAACCACATGAGGATCCACACTGGAGAGAAACCATTCACATGCACTCAGTGTGGGAAGAGTTTCAGCCAATTATCCAACCTTAATCTACACATGATGATCCACACTGGAGAGAAACCATACGCATGCACTCAGTGTGGGAAGAGTTTTTACTGCTCAACAAACCTTAATCACCATATGAGGATCCACACTAGAAAGAAACCATTCACATGCACTCAGTGTGGGGAGAGTTTCAGCAAATCATCACACCTTAATAAACACATTGAAGGAACTCATGGGCATATTGCAGTGGTCAGCACGAGTTGAATCTGAAATCTTGGGCATCTGCAAATTGTCTCAGTCATTGAACTGGCTTAAGGGCTTAAACCATCACGATAACAAAGCACCAATTGATTTTGGGTTATTCTGACCAATTCTCTGGCTGCAGATGTTCCAGGTACCCTTCAGCAAAATTAGTAAATGATTTAAACTAAACAAAGGGGCTTTACGGGATTTTCAGCAGGAACCGCCTCACAAGACTTTTGAATGACATTGAAATTGTGCATCCTGTCAGATGCACAATTTCGTAGAGACGAAGAGATCTCTAGAAACATTAATGCATACAAATGAAAGTAAATCTCTTAAAATGTTAGAACTAAGGCAGATGTATCTTTGAATAATACACCATAATGTTCCTCATATGCTGTGGTTATTTCAACCAACCAGGTTAATCAATGTGTTGTTTTAGCCCTTAAAGCAGATTAAACTGATCTGTATGTGTCTGAAATGTATGAGATCTGGACTTGAATGAAAGCTAGTGACATTTGCAATCTGTTAGTGTAAATGAAAAACTAGTAGTACAAACAGTATTCGTCTTGTAACATTTGATGTAAGATAGTTTCAATCTTGCAAGAGTTCTTCCCCGTGAAATCTACATGCAGTGTGTTAATGATTGACCCTTTCTACGTCGACACGCGGTGTGGCACCGCCCTTCATGGCAATTGCTCATTGGCAGACAGTGCCATAGGGATGGATCAGACCAGGTCACTTAAAGACACCCTGCAACAAAGAAATTTTGCTTTGAAACTGCACGAACTTCCGCAAACCGACTTTCAGCAGTCCGTCACCTCAGTAACCCAGAACCACCCACCCACAAGCGAGGGAATTCCAAGGACGTCACAGAAGCCACCAGCCAATCAGGAGCACTGTGTTTCCCCAAGGCCAGCTGGCGAGGGAGATTCATCTTCAGCAAAGGTGCAAGTAACAAACAAACGTCTCTTACTGATCTGGGGCAGATTGATCTTAAACAGTTAAAGATAAGCCATATCTCTGCTTTTGTGGTTTCTCAGGTGTTATTCTAAGATCTTGTGAAAAGTATTAGAATTAATTTGGGATGGTTGTCAACTCATTTTACATCCTCTGAACTGCCTCTGTGTGTGCGAGTTTGTTTGTTGTTTGCTTATTACGTAGTTAGTTTCATGTATCGTAGTGTAGCTCAATAAATCTTTGTTCTCATTTTGTAAGAATTGTGTTCTTGTTTATGTGCTTCTAAGTCATTGCCTCGAGCTGTAGATCTTGTTACCTTGCTAAAAGTTAACTCAGTACTGTGTTATGTTATTATCGTTGGTCACGTAAATAATATTAACAAGATTGGTAAGATACTGTTACGTAGCGGATGCACCCCGCTACGCATATAAATTTAAGGATGACCGCTATAAAAAGTGGTCACCTGGAGTCCTGGAATAATGTAAGATTTGTAACCCAGTAAACAGGCGAGAAAAAGGCTATTAAAGGCACAAAAGTAGCATTTAATATTAATATCAATGTTTTGGACATTATAAATGATAAAAAGTATGAGTAAATGAGGTTTTAGTCATCTATATTTGCCCTTATGTAACGGAAGCCAGCTGGTGATCGCGTAAATCTCAGTTCTCGGATCCAGTGACAGATGTTGTTCTGCAATCTTATCGGAGCTTGTCTCCCATGCCGGCTCGCTCCCTGCTCGGACCGGTGCAGTTACTTGCACATAAACCGTCTTTTGATGAATATGATGTTACACATTGTCTATCTTTATTGACTCTTTCTTCCATAGACGCGAAGTATTATATTGACAGCTAAAGAATATAAACGTAAGAGAAACAGGAAAGGAAATATTATAACAATACAAAATAGATAAACATTGACAGGGCTAAGAACAATTACGAACAAAGATATTCAAAAGCAGAGAGATTTTATGAGAATGTCACACAAAACAGTTTACTTGGAACTGTTAAACAGTGTTCAGGTATGATTTAAGGTTGGTTATGGATGGGGCGTCTAATTTAAAATAATTTAACATAACGTGCGAATGCATTAAAGGAGCGTCTTCAGTTATTATTTAAACGCAGCTATGTCAGGATTGGGATAGGTTATATAATTTCATTATTTAAATTATGATTGTTAATATTAATATTTTATGACATGTATTTGGGCTATTGCGCTTAAATAAGTAATCCGTGATTCTAAATAAATATTTCTATTTATCCTTTTTATCACTCTGCCTGTCTTTCTCTTCTTTTTTTTTTATTGGGGTTCTGCCACGGTTAAACGTTTGCAAAATGTCTTAGTTTGTCCAGAATATTGTTTTATTGTTATGTAGCCTAGTAAAAATAGTTAAAAATAAAGTTAGTAAAAATAAATTCACACATTTTTTGCTTTGATCTTGAACAGAGGCCAGGTTACCGGTCAGGTTTGAGACATGATCATCCAGACTCTAAAAGACCACGTCCGTCTTGTCAGCATTTTCTGCATCCTGACATGCTGGTTTTTGTTGTGTATTATTTTTTTCTTCTTTGATTTTTGTTATCGGGCAAATGTCTCTTACTGTGAATTTTGTGGCGCTGTGGCTTAGCTGGTCAAAGCGCCTGCCTTGTAAACAGGAGATCCTGGGCTCAAATCCCAGCAGCGCCTTAGTCCAGATGGTGCATGTGCTTGTTTTATAGAGCTTACCGGAATGAATTATAAAATTGTATAGCTTTGAGGCATAATGAATAGTAAAATAGAGTTAAACAACCTCTTTGCTTGCCATTTTAAGACTTGCTGTCTTTTTTTAGTCTCTGTGTGCAAAAACGTCTTGCCTCCTTTCTAGCGTTGGTGCTGTGGCTTAGTTGGTCAAAGTGCCCCTCTAGTAAACAGGAGATCCTGGGTTCAAATCCCAGCAGTGCCTAATGTACAGGTGCCACGGTTGCTTTTTGTTAAGAGTATCGAGTGTTTACGCAGCGGGATGTTTAGCAGTCGGTTTCTTAACAAAACTCAAATCCTTAAGAACGCTGCTCGTTCAAGAGGGTTTTGGACGATGGCTTTATAAAGCATAGTGTGGTAATGCCTAACCAATGCGCTACTTGCACACAGGCTCGTGACGTAGTTCCGCCTTGAAGTAATAGGGCCCGCTTAGTTCCGGTTTGTCGGCCATTGTTGCGAAGTTGGGAGAAAATGTAAAAAAAAGTGTTTATAGATTTCAGAGACAGCAGAAGGTATACAACGTACATCTTCTGCGAAATTCAACAGAAGTATAAGTTTTCACAGTTTTCCTTCAAACTTGGACCTTAGAAAACAGTGGCTTGTGAACATACGCCGAGATGATTTTTGTCCAACCGGCAATTCCAAGGTTTGCAGTAGACATTTTAGCAGGGATCAGATTATTAAACCGCAAACACAAGAGGCACGAAAAAAGTTAGTAACTGGCACTGTGCCAGTGCTTTTTGCCTGGAATAACTATGCAGTTAAAGCATCGCGGTCCAGTGTGTGGGAGAGGAGAGAGAGGCCGGCTGAAGTGGTATCCGTCGAACCCACACCCTTGGATGTTACGATGGATCATGATTACTGTACCATTCCCGAGCCTTCATCATTAGACCTGGCATATGCTAAAATAGAAGAACTTTCCAATGAAGTGGATGAGCTGAAAAAACAGCTACAAGAACTACACGTTCAGCGTGATTTTGGATTGGAACGGTTTGCTGGCTCTGATGAGGACATCCGATTTTATACAAGGTAGGTCTGAAGATTGGAAGAATCTTAGGATTAGATGTGATTACATATACTCAATTTTAAATACACGTGCCTGCATTACTAGCACGGAAACATGTAAACAATTTGTAAATGTATTCAGTAACATTTCTGCTTATAGGTTGCCCAGCTACCGTCACCTGACGTCTTTCTGGTGGCTAATCGAGCCATCCATTCACAAAATCATTCGTGTGTCCAGGGCTAAATCTGCTGCTAGAAAGCAGGAAGACATCATGGATGTACTGCCACCATCAGAGGTAGGTTTTATACGCACAGTAAGCATGACTGTACACAAACACATTTATTTATATATATATATATATATATATATATATATATATATATATATATAAAAATATATATATATATATATACACACACACTTAAACACACACTTGCATATAAATATATACATCCATACACATAAATACATATACATGTATGTATGTGTATATATGTATGAGTGCATACATATATACATACACATACATATATACATGCATACACATTTATTTACATGTAAATATATATACATACATACACACACCCATATACGCGTATAAAGCTGACTTTAATATGTTCTTAAACAAACTTACCTTTATGCATGTTTTACCTTCCCAGAGACAGCTGCTGCAGCCAATTGATGAGTTTTTTCTTTTCCTTGTCTACCTGTCCGTTGGATTAAAGGAGAAAGACCTGGCACAGTTTCCACATGCATCCTTCCACAGTGAGCAGAATAACATGGACAAACTATCTCTATACACTGCTGGGATCAGTTTGTGTGTGGCTTTCAGCAGCTGATGTAAAATCTAACCTTCCTGAAGAGTTCTCTGATTTCACAGACACACAGGTCATCATTGACTGCACTGAGATCAGATGTCAAACACCATCCTCACCATTACTGCAAAGTGAAATGTATTCAAATAACAAATCTCACTGCACAATGAAAGGCCTCATTGGAATAGCGCCTCATGGTCCAGTGACATTCGTCTCTAAGCTTTATGCTGGGTCAGTGAGTGACAGGGAGATCTTTAAACAGTGTGGGATAACAAAAATGCTGACAGAAGACATGGCAGTTATGGTTGATAAAGGCTTTCTGATTAGTGACTGTGTCAAATGCAAAGTGTACTGTCCACCATTTCTGTCCAGGGGAAAGCAGATGCCAGCACATCAGGTGAAAGAAACG